TATTTAAAATCTTTTTTAAATTAAAAAAATTAAAAAATATTAATTTTTTTTAAATTTAATTTATAAAAATATAAATAATATCAAAAAATTAAAACTTTTACTAGTTTGGCTAAAAATGCCTTAAATTTGTTTAGAAAGAAAGAAGGAAAGCTATTAGATTTTAGTATATTTTTTAAAATATAAAAGAAAAGAAAAGAGAGGCAATCATGTCTATACCATAATTAATGCTTGGGAGGAGGGAGAAAAGGGAGCTCTGGCAGTTTTCGGGATGTCACTTTTGTAAAGGTCCTATTTTAAAAAAAAAACATTGATAAAGGGATTAAATGGTCAAAAAAATTCAACGTCACAAACATCATATTCCTAAAAACATCGAAAATGAGGTTACTCTAGTGATAATATTATATTGTATTAATAATATAAATAATTTAATAATAATTTTTTTAACAATAATAATAAATTTTAAATTTAAATTACACCCTAACATACATTTCAATAAAAATAAAAGTTTTTTAATTTGTATATGCATATAAATACAAATGAATGAGATAAAAGTTCATTACATCAAATTATGTGATTTAAAATAAAAAAATTATAATAATTATTAAAAAAGTATGAGTTTTACCACTTTCAATTATGACATTGATGCATACAACAAAATTAGAATATCAAGTAGTTTTTTTTTTCTAATCATAAGTTTTAGAGGGTGCCCAAAAATAGCATTTTTCTTTATACTAATGATTTACATAATGAAGGTAAATTCATTTTTATTGTTGTAACTGTATACCATTGATTCTAAATTTGTAACTCAATGCCTCTATTTTGCCTAACAGATTACCTAAATTACTATTGCTAATTAATTAAACATGATTACTGTCCTAATACAAAACGAATGATGTGATCATCTTCACAACTTGCATACCTCATTATCACTTCCCCAATAGAATGGTTACAGGTGGCACATATCAACGGCTGCAGTTATCCATGTGTCCAAACTTATCATGATCTATCCACATCAGCGTCCCAACTTTATATATTGACCCTTGATCAATCAATACTGGATCATTGATCTTGATCAAACGTCAAAAGCAGAGCCGCTTGGATTCCTGATTTCTTCGAATTACTTATGGACTTGATTAGGTGATCTTTAAACTGTTCCTTTAAACGTTAAATAATTTTGAAGAGTGTTGAGACACTCTTTTCTAACACTTATTTTAAAAGGGTTTTTTTATTGGACATGTTAAGAATAATTTTTTATTATAAATGTGTATAAAAAATTATAAAATTTTATAATAATTTTAGTATTAATGTCAAGTTAGTGAGTTTAATTAGATAATTAATAAATTTAATGTTGAATTTTATTTTTTAATGTAAATTTATGACGAAAAAATATATTTAATATACTTTTAATTTATACTTTAATTAGACATTGGTTAGATAAATTTTTTAAAAACTATTTTTATATGTAAATAAGAAACCATAAAATGTAAATTTAATGTAATTAATAATTAATAATTAGTGTTTAAGTTAATATTTTTAAATTTTAAAACAATAATTAATCTCATTAAATGTATGTCATCAGTATTCTAATCACAGAATGCGTATTTAAAAAATAATGTTAAAGAAAATATTCTTAGCATTTTTCATTAATTTATTAATTTTTAGTGAATGTCAGAATGCTTCACTTAATAAATAACTCCTTTTTTTTTTCTTGTTTTCTTTCTTTATTCTTCCCCATTCACACACTTTCCTTTGTTAAAACCTTAAAAAGAAAAGAACCCTTTAAAAGTGTAATGGTTTTTAAAGAGTGTTAGAATTAATTATTTAAATATAATTAATGTGAGAATTGATAGTAATTATTATTAATAATTTATAATATTAAACTTTTTTTATTTAGATACTAAGGTACATGTCACTATAATACACTGGTTTAAATTCTTCATCATCCCAAAAAAAGGGTCAAATCCCATAAAAATGATAAACTGCTCTTGGCTTTTGGCCCACAAGCATTTTGTTTGGGGACTTAAGGAAAAGTGTATTTAACCCCTTCGGATGCGTTAGTTCTGATAGAAGTCTTCTTTCTCCCTAGCGAAAGTTTTCTCCTCGAGAATTTGTTGCCAAATATTTGTTAAAACTTTGTATTTTTTGTAAGCAAGTTTTTTTCTTCAATGATTAAATTTTGTATTCAATAAGACATTTTTCCTTTTTAAAAAAAACTTGTCAAGTGATTTTTAAGAAGGAGAGTTCGGGAAGTTCTAACCCTTCGTAAATGGCGGAGAGTGTTTTTCAGTGAAAATTGTAACAAAGGACAAAAGTAGATAAAAAAATCATTTTGAGCATTATTTAATTTTGGTACTCCTTTTCACTTATAATAATAATTTGAATTTTAAGATTAAAAAATAATTTTTTGTACTTTATATAAAAATTAGTATGTATTAATTTTAACTTTAAAAAAATTAAAATTTTATTTTATATTTAAAAATTAAAATTTCAGTTCAAAATTAAAAAATGTAATAAATTTTTAAATCTAAATATCAATATTTAATAAGATAAAATTTTAAATTTTAAATTAAATTTTAATTAAATAAAACGAGATTAAAATTCTAATTTTTTTTATGAGTAAAGACTAATATACATTTTTTTCTAACTTTAAT